GGTATTATAGATCTATGATGCGATTTTGAGGCCCGTCTGTATTTTGATCCATGAATTTAACTACTGATATGCCATTTACTGCATTATGAATATAGAATTAATAAAAAATATTTATTTATAATATTTGTGGGAGTGAATTGAATCAGAATTTTAAACAAAATTTTAGGAGTAATGGATAATTTGAAGCAAATCAATAAAAATTCTAGTGATTGACGTTTTATCAAAATGATATAAACCCTGTAATATTTTATTTAATGCTTCAGATTTTCTTTTTTATTGTTTATTTAAATTAAATTTAAATCTAAATTTTAAATAAAAAACTAATACCTACATAGAGGTAGTGAACTATTTCCCCCAGCATTTGTAATACTTATCAAACAGTTTATGATAAAAAAATAAAATAGAAAATATAAATAAAAATAAAAAAAATTTTACTTTGAACTAAAAAGAATTGATGTATTCGAAAAGATTTTAAATGATTATAATTATATACGAAAAACAGTTAGAGATAATTATACACGAAATATTTTACCAGAAAAATACTCATAACATGTTTTCTTTTAGGTGACTCAAAACATTAGTTAATTGCTGAAGGGAATTTTTGACTTCAAATAATGGCTTCAAATAATTAATTACTAATTTCATCAGTTATTTTTCTAGTGAACTTGTGTGTAGATACTCCATGGCAACAACTTTTGGGTGCGTCAATATTGTAATATTTCTCATAATAGGCGTTGATAGATAACGATTGTAATTTCGAAAATAGTTTGAACAGCTGTTGAGGAAGCACTGCCAGTACGTGTCTATATTTGTTTTGTTTAATTTATAGGTTAAATTTCTGATAAAATTTTAATCTGAAATATTTCATACATAAGATTATAGTATAGATTATATATTATATTAGATTATAGATTATTGCACAATTACGAGTAGATACGTAGCGTGCTCTAAATAACTGCTTGAACCAATATTTTTATTTAATTTTTGCTTTCTGTGCGAATTTTATTTTATTTTTATTTTGTTTAGAAATGTGTGTATATAGTAATTTTATTTTGGTTTTTGGCAAACACGTCTGGGACACGTGCCCCAGACATACTCGAACATATTTATCAAAAACATTTAGCCGAAAATGATTTGCTTGGCATACATAATAATGCATAAAATAAATATATATATGTATGTATATTTTCGCATATAATTTGCTGTGAGTGTTAATATTTTTAAATTAATTGTTTTTTTTTTTGAAATTTTTATTGTTTATATACAAGAAGAAAAAGTAAAAATATTGCTCGAATTTACGCAAACCAAATTTTATGTTATGAAATGTGAGCAAAACAAAAACAAAAATTACAAAAAAAAAAAAATTATTATAATTCCCTATAAACATTTTGAAGAAAGTTCTTAGATATTTTTATTAAACTAGATATATTGAAGGTAGAAGAAAAAATTCGATAAAAAAAGCCCACTTAAAGAATTTGCAAAGCCTTGAAATCGTTTAAGAACTTAAAAAATAAATGTTCACCGGGTCTTCCACTTTGTACAAGTAGATCCAAAGTCCAACGTAAGGCGGTGATAAAATGGTTATTTGAAAAAAAATATATTAACTAAAATACATGTTTGCTTAAACATTTATATTATAAAAAAATTTTATTTAAATTTTAAAAGAATGTTTTGTGGTAAAGTTTTAAAAATATATTTTTTAAAAAAAGTTGTACATTAAAGACACAAGAAAAAAACAAGATATAAAAGTAGGAGCATAAAAAGAAATGTATAAACCTGTAGAGTTTTATATCATAAACTTTTACAGGGTCTTTAACTATAAGCGTATAAACCAATCATTTCCAATTTTTAATTTTCCATAAATTATTTAACTCATTCCAAAAATTTTCACAAATATATAAAACCTTAATTATTTAGTATTAAATTAAATAATATTAATATTTTAATATAAATATTAAATAATATTAATATTTTAATAATTTAATATTATTTTAAAAAAGTTTTATTATAAATTACTAGGACATTCAATAATGATCATCATATAGTATTTTAAATAAATACTATTACACAAACTATATATTTCTTAGAAAAAACCCATGGATAATTTAATATAATTTTTTAATATAATATTTTTAAAACATTGTCATATATATTTATTATCATTAAACCGGTTGGGGATCGGAATATCGAACCAATAAACACTATTAAATTTATCAATAGCCTTAATTTGTTTTAATGCGTCTAGTATATAGTAGCCAGGGATAACCAGTACAATAGATCCTATTAGATATATAGATCGAAGACATATTATTTATTTATTAAATAATATAAAAGCTAAATATTATCACCTAGCTTTTATTTGACAAAGTTCAGACTTTAGCCAGAGATAGATCTAATATCCAAATTGCAATCGACCTAATAGATTGTGATGTACATTTATCTCTCCTAATAACCATAAAATAATAATAATAAATATATTGATAACTAAAAGTGAGTATTATACAAATATTACTACATAATATTAATTTTTTAAAAACACTTAATAAAATAATATAATTTATTTCAAAATTTAATTAATTGTCTTAACATATGAACTGGTAAAAAGTGGCAAAACTAGATATAAGTATAATTTGATTCCATTAGATCTCTATTTACTAAAAAAATTTTTAATTTAACAGAATTTCTAAATATTAATTAATTTCAAAGATTAACAAACCAAACAATATTACAGATTTAATGTTATGAAAATAGTTTAGGTTATTTATTCATACACGAGTTCTAAAAGAGGGGTGTGTTTGTATGCCTATGTACTAAATATAATACAAATATATTAGACAAGAATTTATATAACACATATTTTTAACTTATATTAACATAAATAACCGGTCGAAAATAGAATATTTAAATGCCAACAAAAACAGAAATAAATAAATAAAATAAAAAAACTATAATAATGAAGTCAAAACAAATCGAAAGTGTCTGAGTCCATTAAACAAACCGGTAGCCTCAAAACTCTTTTATGAGTTCATTTGCTATTTTAAATAAATTTTCTATTTGAATATTTATCACCTACTTAAAGTGTTTGGCATTTATTTTAATATTTATATTTACAAATTCTTTTATTAAATAAAAAAAATAATAATAATATTTATGTTTTAAAATTTTTCTTAAAATTTGTTTTGCCAACTGATTTATTAATGGAAATATTTATATAGTCAAATGTTTAAAGATAGGTCTTCGAGAAGGTGCAATTTTTAAATGCGCTTCAAAGTATGAAATGTCAAATGGTGCTTTATAAAAGTGGAACAATATATTATATATATATAAATATATATACAGATGTAGGTATATGTATATATATTTTTTTAATTTATCTGCACTAATTGGCCATGCAATCTCTATTTTCTAATTAGTCCTGTTTAATTATCACAGTTGATTTGTTTTGATTTATTACCATATCTAATCTAATTATATATCTAACGAACTAATAGTTTTTTTTATATCAGAAAATAACCTTTTTATGCAATATGTAAGTACTTAACATTATTTTTTATTACTTAACAAAAATTTTAATATATATTAAAAACCAATATTTACAATGATTTTCTGATATGATCGAAAATATTTAATATTATAAATATTTTAATTTTTTTGAAGAGCAAAACCTGTAGTACTTTTAAATTTAAATGCCTAACAATTGAAGCAATAATAACTACGGGTTCTGTAGCCTGGTTCAAAATTGGGTTATTAGCTAAGAAAAGAGCTTAATAATGTCTAATAGAATAAATTCTATCTGATCTTTTTAATATGTTAAAAATTTGGTGTGCTGTTAGCAGCTTGAACTTTACTTCTTTACAAAACATATTTAAGCTAAGTTGAGTATTAATCGCTGTTTTTGTCGTAACCCGCAAGGATCTGCTTGCGTAGTGCCGGGTGTGATGAACGCCACTTGGTCGTCGTACTTGAGTCGACAAACGAGTAGCTCCGGTATGTAGTTTCGGCCGTTCTTAAAGCCAGCATTAACCGCTCTTGTAGTTAGTGTAATTGATATGATTTTAATTTAGTGGGGGGCAATTTATACGACATTTATGATGAACTAATTTGCTTACAAATGTTAATAAGATTTTTTTTATAAATTAAATATTTTAGGTTCACTAAATTATAAAAGACTAAAGTAGATAAAATATTTTAATTTTTTTTAAAGGTGAGTGTAAATTTAAGGTATCAATTTTTTATATGAAACATGTACAAAACCTTATAATTTTTAATAAAAAAAAATTGTCTTATTAAGCGTAGTCATAATTATGTCATAATTATAAAACAATAAAAAAATAATGTATCTCATGTTGTGTATGAAGTTCAAGGATATTTACATGTAAGAGTATTTTGCAATCAAATATTTTTTGGTGTGTCTCTAAAAGATTTTATATATTTATTATTGATTTTTTTTATGTTAATAAATGAGTTTTAGATGAAATCATACAAATATACATATAAAAAATTGTGTAAAATATTTTATATGTATATGTTTTTAATGAGTAAGACCATATCAAATTATATTTTATCAGACATACATTGTATAATAGACTTATGTATGACATGGTGACCTTGAATTTGACACTATCAATGTGCACGCTATATACTAAAGCAAGGTAAAATTAGGTTGTAATCCATTTTTATGGTGGATGCTCTTGAATAAGAGTGCAGTTGATTTGCTAGTAAACAGCATTCCGGAATGTAGACAATCAACTCTACAGAGGAATGTTATGAATGCGATGTACATATATGTATTCTGAATAATGTAAAACACTTCAATCGTCTGTCAATTGTATGACAGAAACACAATAACAAATGTTAACATAAAATAAAAAAATAAACTTAAATATTTTAAAAAAATTAAAAAGTATCTTTGCAAGATATTTACGTACTGTTAACACATAAAATATTTCTTTTTTTAATTAGGTATAAATAAAAAAAAAATAAAAATATTTTATATTTACCTTCTTGATATTTAAAAAAAAATATTTTTGTCTTCATAAATTTTTTCAGAATTTTTATTTATTTTTTTTTTTGAAGTATTCCACTTTCTTTTTTTGTTCCTTGAAAACTTTGTGATTTTTGTTATCAATGTAATTTTCTTAAAATTGTTTTGATGTTTCACATAAATTTGTTTCCGATTTGTCAATATTTTTGTTTACGTTAAAGAATTTGTTTTTTATTTCATTTTTTATTATTTGATTATATATTAAGGCATTTTTGTTACTATTTTATTTATTGAACTTTTTCCCTTTTTGTGACCATGCGAAAACAATAACAGAAACAGAAGAGCGCGAAGATACGCTGCCAAAGACGATTTTTTGCGCACCGCGCAGCACTTTTATAGCCAACAGTGCTTCAACGGCAACTGCGTGTATCTGCGGCTGTCTTATTTTCTATATAATAAAAAATATTCACTATGAAATATGTGCTAAAAAAATGTTGTTTAAGGCAGCTCTCCGTACTGTTGCTCATCTTTTAATTATTCAAAGTTTAATAAATTTGCTTGACAATTTATTAAGATTTTCTTTTTTTTTTTAAATGCTTTTTCCCACTCTGCTGCTCTTCTCCCTTATACAGATGAATTCAAACTGTTAACACACGTTTTTCGTGATTAAAAAATATATATTTCTCTAGCTGTACTTAATTTGTGTACATTTTTGGCGAAGTAAACAAGTTGCTGTTTACATGTGGATTATGTTAGCTCACTGTTATTAACAGTAGCTTTCTCTATTTTACAGTTATGCATAGAGCGAATAAATGTTAGTTGATGGTACATTTTAAGTAGGCATGTTGTGGTATAAAATAATTATAAAAAAATAAAAGTTTTCAAATGAATGTTATTAAATTTTACATATATTTTTAAAGTAATTATTGGAACTTCAATATCAATAATATTCTTTAAAATTAGAAAAACTAATAATAATTTTTTGTATTGACATGGTATTGGGTTTTCGTTAGTTTAAAAAGTAAACATTCAAATTACAAACGTAGACTAATGCTTGAAATGCAACATATAATTAATGTTCTGGACAATCAGAGACTCAATTATAAAAAATATACTTTTTTCAAATTTAAAGCTCTCTGGTCGAAAGGTATAACACATAAAAGTATAAAATTAAAGTTTTCTTTTGTTTTTTGTATAATTTCTTTTTTAACTAATTATTTTTTTGATTTTTGTCATTATTTTTGTATCTATATGTATTTATTATATATATTTATATATTTTAAAATTGTTCAACATTGAAAAAGACAACAAATGGTTTTCTTTTTATATATTTATTTCCATTTATGTTTAACAATCTTTTTTTTCTAAACTGATGGTCCATAAAGTAATCCGAAATATTTGTGCAAAAAATTTTTTTTAAAATGTATTTCAATTTCAAAAAAAATTTATTGTTACTTATTAACAATTTAAGTGTTAAATAAAATAAATTATGTATACATTATATAGACAATAATAATAAATTATTAAAATAAAAAATAAAGTTAATAATAGAAATTATATGCAAACAACATGCGCACCGACATGAAAATATGAATTAATGAACGTTTGTGTAATTTTCATCAGTAAATTATTTAAATAAATATTAAGTATTTTATGATATATATTATTTTGGAATTATTCCATTTGATTGATTGGTATTATTAAAAATAATTTATATAAAATATAAATTATAATAAGGGTTTCGCAAGTTCTTATAAATTTTATAACAGCGTTGTATGGTTAGCTGAATTTTAATAAATTAATTAAATTTTTGTTGTTGTTTTTTCATTACTGTTCAAACATTTTTAGTTTCTTTTCGTCATATTTCTTTTCGTTTGTATTGTTGATAATTTTTTTTTGATTTGAGAACTATATTGGTTTAGAAAACAAACAAGAGAATGAGTAGAACTTTGTAATGAATATTTAAATAGGCCGGCTTTCATTTTAAGTTTTGTAGAATCGGTTTGTTGCCTATTGTGAATAATAAATATAATGATGGGAAATTATGAAGTGTTAGTTTGTTGGGAATCTCCATTACATTCATACTGATAAAATAAGTTTTTATGTGGAGAGGTAAGTAAGTATACTAGAACTCTTCAAATTTTTTTAATCAATATTTTGGAAATTGGGTAATGCTACAATGTAATATATTACATTGCAATATTTTTGAAATAATGTTTTAAAGCATAGTAAATATATATTGGTGTTATCATGAGTATAATATATATATGTTATTTATAAATACATCAAATGTAATAATTTGAACTTATTTAGATGATACAAGTTTTCAGTATTACTTGTATTAGTAGTTTTAATACTGTTTTTTACTAATTAAAATAAAGTTCATGAAAAATACAATGTAATCAATCAATTTTTACGAATAAATATTTCACTATTAAAAAACTATATTGTATTTTGTATTTATTAATTTAATTTTATTACTTAAATATATAATAGATCTTTAAATGAGACAAAATTAAATTAAAAAAAAATTATTTATAAAAAAAATTATTAGAATAGAT